CCCTACAAAAAAGTGTAAGTGAAGAACCAAAGAGGCTGATTATCTCTAACTGCACACCCTCTTGCAGCAGTACAGCCACTTGCTCCATCCAAAAACACTTCATTAAAACCATCCTCAGGATGGTTTACTGCTGGGTGTTCTCTCAGTACCCCTGTGGGTCAGGCTTCACCAGAAAATAACTTTTTCCAGCTGATGAAATTAATTACTAGTGAAGTGAAAGTTTCACTGCTGAACACAGAACTGGAAATCAACTCCCAGCAAAGCATTTTTAAAAATATCCATTCTGTGAACCCTATTGAGTCCCACAAATAGAGGCCATTTGGCAATTCAATAACATTGGCAACTGCCCCCCTTACGAACCATTAAAACTGAGCACTTTCTCCCAACTACTTCCCATTGCTGCTGGAAGTCTTTATTTTTTAAAAGGGCTTATTAACTCGTGTTTTGACACTAAAGGTAAAACCAGAATGAATTTGATAAGTGCTGATTCCTGCCATTTAAAGTTACTGATCTAAAAACAGAGTGCCCTCCCCCCATCATTTGGACCTGTTAATGGTTGATCTATTATATATAATTTCTTTCTGACACAGTTGATTCATTTGTAGTCTCTTTGGAAGCAGTAATCTCAACCAAAAAATTATGTTCTTGTAACTCAAAAGTGGACATTTTCTGTTTCTGCACAAGAATTAGCAAGGGGTGTTATTAAGCCTTTCCTGTTTAGAGAAAATCAGAGCTGGATGAGAATGGGGGAAAAACAACCTGAACCACAATCAAGAAAACCAAACCCCAAACCAAATAAAAATCCACTGTGTATCTCAAACTCCAGTATAACTATTCCTTACAAATACAGCATTGCTGTGTTGGAAGGAACTTTGGGAGATCATCTAGTCTAACTCCCTTGCTCAAAACAGAATCAATTTCAGCAGGTTGCCCAGCACTGTCTCCAGCTGGGTTTGAATATTTCCAAGGATGGAGCCTCTTGGGTCACCTTGTTCAAGTATTCAACCACAACCATAGTAAAAAAAACCATCACTTCCTCTAAATGGTTATGCAAACTTTCCTGTGTTTCAATTTGAGCCCTTTGCCTCAGTGTCCCTGGGCACTGCAGAGAAGTCTCACCTACCTTCAGTCATTCTTTTTTTCCCCATAATTTGTTTGAGTAATGCAGAAAAAACATCTCCAACCACAAAGACATTATTTACTGGAACTTTTGTTACTCTTTGTGATTCTGACAACTAATCACAACCAACTGCTTCTATTTTGCACAGTTTTCAGCGCTACAGTAGTAGGAGGTTAAAATTTAATGCATTGTCAAAGTCAAATCTCAATTATCTGGAATAACGGAGTGGAGAGAGCACATAAAAGTAAAAATGCAGATAAAACACATCCAGATAAGCTTTATAAACAGGGAGGACATAAGAGAAAGAAGAAAGAAAGGTCAGGGTGCTGATGCCAGAAGAGGCACCGATGCAAACAGGTTGGCCAGGACACCTCACTTGAGTGCTGCAAGTGTTGAACCAAGCTCTGGGTGCAGGGCACAGACCTGCAGCCACTGCCCTCCCAACCCTGGCCGGTTCAGCACTGCAGTCTGCCTGCTCTTGACCATTTGGCTCACTTCCCAACACAGTCTGCAGCCCCCACATCCTGATATCCATGTACCAGGCTCCATGTGCACATCAAACCATACTCGGACTAGTTGTCTCCTCTCCCCATTTCTGGACAAAGCCAAACAGTTATAAAAGCAAACCTGAAGTAGCTGATGGAATCCAGTAGTCCAAAGACTGGATTATGAAAAAAAATACAGACACAAGTCCTATAAACTCTCCCCAAAAGCTTCTGAAGTGCTGGTGCATCAATCCTGCTGCTTTCAAATACTCCCCCAACCCCTCACAGCAATCTCCACACACACCTGAGGCTTCATGCTTCCCTTCTGCAGATGGTACCATTGTATTCCTCTTATTTTAGGCATTTTGAACTTAAAGGTACATGAGTGGGATGACAATTACATCTTCACAAGAGCTGCACAAGGGTTCAGAGAAGAGCTGGGCCAGGTGCTGTGCAGCACAGATGCCAGCAGCCTGCCCCAAGTCCTATCCCTGAGTAGCTCTAACACGTGCCAGCCCACACTCCAGCCTGTGTGGCATGGTACAGACCTACCCAAAGGACATCTGGATGAAGATCTGGTCCCAGGTCATTACTGGCACAAGCAGCACTGGGTTTTCTGCAGCAGGCACTTTTTCCCAAGTCAGTATTGGGAACCTGCCCCTACTCCTGCCTCCTGCCCCAAATCAGTCATTGCAGCACACACAGATGCCAGCATGCAGGAAAGGGAACGTGAAATCAAGATCTCTGTGATGTCAAGTCCACAGGAGCGGGCTTTTTCCCCCAGTAATTTCCAGATTCTGATTCTCAGTCCTTAAAATATTCCACAGCCATGTGGAATAACCTTTACGTTTATGCTTCACCCATATTCCAGGAGACAGAGTAATGAGCTCCCTATCTTTTCCATGTGGATGTAGCAGCCTTCTCCTCCAGAGCTAAATCACTGTGAAGCACTGCTCAGTACCATTAAAGCCCTGCTCAGCTCAGCCCTGAGTTATCGGCACAGCAGCACATTGGTGGCTCTCCTATACATATTAAGTAATTTGCACTGGAAGCTGCCACAGGAAAGCCAGATCTCATTTTAATTTGCATCTAAGATATATATCTGTGGCCTTTGCCTAAAGGTTTGTCACTCTAGCTGAAAGCTTGACAAAGGTCAGAATACTCAACTTTCTGCTTTAAATTCTAATGACAGATGAGAGATACATTTCTTAGCATAAATATTTATATATAAACATACTTTATATATGCATGTATACACACCCCCCCAATCCTTAAATATCTCAGCATATGTGTAAGTGTAACAAATACTGCCACAGAGTCACAAGTGAATGGAGTAGCATACTGTGAGTCTGCCCTGACCCAAGATGTGAATTTGAATAGAAAAAGAAAATCAGTTGAGGTAATGGGACCTTGAAATTTTAGCAATTTTCTGCACTAAAATAAGCAAGTTAAGATTAATTGGCAACGTAAGCTTCAAGAGGTCTCAAGATTGAGAAGATGGTAAACAAAAGCTAATCTATAAAATTTAACAGGAAGCACATTATCACTGCACAAAAGCTGAAAATATATAGTGTTTTTAATAATTGTAATTAATTACTGCATTAATGTTTATTTTATAGAAAATGGAGATTTAAAATACTCATCTGGTACTTTCCCAACAAAGTGCAGGCTCGTTGCACGCCCTGTGTGTGCCTGCTTTGTGCTTTGCTCACAGACACTTCCACATTTAGAGAACAAATCTGACAAATCAGAAACCGTGCATGACCCACGTACTGACAGCACAACAGCAACGCTGCCTTAGGAGTCACAGGAAGGCCAGACTGGGTTCCAGTTAGACCCCTCTGTCCTGTATATAGGTGGTCTCATGCAGCACTGTGTCAAAAACAGTGCAAAAATGTGTCTCAAGTGCAGCCTCAAAGCACCCAACAGTTTTACATCACACAAGCCATGTTTTTACAGCCTGCTCATATAGAAAGAGCCAGGCTGATCTTTACTCACCCCTCCTAAAGTAAGGGTGGAAGTCAAATGGCAAAAAATTAGCCCATCAGGCAAGTTCCCTCATGCTTTCAACCCTGGGAGCTGCATACTCATCATACATAGAGTCTTTGCTTTAAATGTGGCTTTAAAAAGGATCAAGAATCTTAAAAAGATGCAGCTAAAAACCAAAAATGAAATAAATCCCTCTTATGCAGAAAGTCACTAATCGGGTAAAGAGAACTCGAGAGACAGTGAACTCCTAATCTTACCATTTCTTGGGCAATCATTTGATTTTAAAATTACAATGTGCTCTTTACCAGCTGAGGTCCATGAATCAGAAATTCCTGGCACATGGGCAATTTTTAGTCAATAGGTGGTGGGAACTGGACTGGAAAAGGGATTACGTCCCCTTCCGTTTTCTTTTACAACCTTCCAGAAATCTCCCTCCTGAACTGCACCCCTGCTTTCTCCCACATCCCTTCATATGAGCCCCAAAGCATTCATGTTTAATTCTCTAACAGAAAAGCAAAATAAGGGGCTGCCTGATTAAACATTAAGGACCTTTTTCTCTCTTTATGGAAAATACCTTTGATTTAGTGGGAACAATTTGGTAGCTGTTTATCTGAAGGTTATCCATTACTTGTTGGCCATGTGATTTGGAAGAATTGTTTTTTGTATCTGGGGGCGTTGAGTCATGGTGGCATAAAGGCACATTAATAGTTTCTAATATGAAATGCCTGGATTATCCTCTCCCTCTGATAAGCCCCTGAAAAGCTAAGAACTTGTACCTAGTCTGCCAGTCTCTGGGACAGCACAGAAAAACAGAAGAGGTCCCTCTCATTCACCTTATTTATAAAAGGCCTCATTCTAAACTTCCCTAGAAATATTCTCAGGAGCTTCAAAACCAAAGTGATTATGTGATGCATGCAAAAAAATCTGGGAGGAGGAAGCTATGTCCCTAGTCCCAGTGGACACTCAGATGCAGATTTATTACAGACAAAATTTATTCCATCAAAATTTGTTCTCCACCTTGTGGACTGATTCCTCCTACACTACTGTATTGATTTCACTACTGAAGTGCTGCATTAATGAATCAGGCTCTCCACATCCACCGTGCTACTATAAAGGATCACATTTTGTTATATGGACCATAAAATGCAGCAGAGGAAAATAAATCTGTTTTGTTTTTGTATTGCTGCCTGCTTTGGTGTCTGCATTAAATAATATAACCATTATATACTGTTTTGTTTCCATTTATAAAGATACAAATGATGGTGCCAACAATGTTCCCATGCACTTATATTCAGAATCAGGTCTTTACCCTTAAAAGTCTGGTGACAGCAAGGGAATTAATTCAGGATTTCACAGTAAATGTAGGGCTGACAAAACCCATCCTCGTAGAGAGGTTATTTACTCACATGGTGCATAGAACATGACAAGGGTGTGCTTCTTCTTCTTCAATGACTCCCTGAAGTCTTCTCCAGCCAGGTGGATAACACTGGTCTGTTTTTCTTCCCATGCAGGCTCAGGTGGAGGTGGTGCTTCAGGACTAGAAAAGCAAGACAATGAAATTGGTTTGAAAATGTTTCTGGAAGCAGATAAAGGGACAGCATTGTCCTGGTCATAATTAGCATGAGGTAACTGATGTGAAAAATCCTTCAAGATGCCTGTGCAGTAGAAAGACATACTCAATATTTCCAACACCAGGCAACAGCAAAAAAAAAAGAAAGTTAATTTCTGAAACTCAGATAATTTAAAATATAATTTAAAATAATTAAAATATAATTTAAGTGACTGTAGTCAGGCATATGAGTAGAAATGTCAAATAAAGACTTCCTACATTGCATCCAACACCTGGGTGGAAAAAACATTGATACATACCACTGTATCATCCACAGCCTTGAACTGAGAAGAACAGCAAGCAGGTGGAATTAAAAGGCAACTGATATAGAACAGCATCTTCCATTCAAATATCCTTTTTGTACTCTTTATCCCTATCATGCAAACTTCTGTAAAGAATTTCATGACCTCTAGAATTCAGATATTAAAGCCAGGATGCAAAAATCAGCATCGTTCCACTTGGAATACTGGGGGTGACTGAACCAGAATATTTTACTTTGGTAAAGAGAATGTCAGGTTTCAATTATGACTGCACATACTGGCTAGATCAGAGCAATCCTGCACACCTAGAGTGTCTCTAACAAAAATTCTGCTATTCACTAGCTCACAGACCTCTCTCAGACTCATTAAATTCATTCCTGCTGTATCTTAAATAGTGATTACTTTATATAAAATCATCAGAATGGTGCCACAGTATAAAGACCTTCATATGTCGCCTTGGTAATAAATTAGCTTTTCAGACTTTCCTGACACTTTCAATGACACCATTTTAAGTTGTATCAGGTACATAAAAACCAAGTGGAGAAAAACTCAATTTTTAAAGTCCTTTTCAAGGTCACTTGGTGGACATTCATTGCATTTCCACCATTACTGATTTTCCAGTTTTTAGAGAAAGACTTAGATGTGTTTCAGAGAAAGAAGAGTTACACGGTGTGTCCTTTAGCTGAATTCCTCCATGAACACAGTTGTTGTGAGCGATCACTGATTACAGGTACAGAGGTGGGACTTTACTCTCACACAAAATTTTCCACACTGACCTGGAATAAGCTACCCAGCAACTGGTAACAACCTATGTGGCAGCACAATCACCAGAGAGGAACCAGAGCCAAAACCTGCATGGCTGCAAGCACCCATTGAGACAGGTCTCCTCCACAAGCTGTACTTTTACCACCCGCCTGCACCCCAGATGCATCCCTATTTCCACCAGCCTTAGTGCAGCTGTGTCAGTTCTCTCCCTGTCAGAAAACAAGGATGTTATTCTACTGCATCTCTAGCTGGGAGAACATCCAGGAGCCAAGAGCAGGAGGCAATTGTCTGGGCTTCACCTGTACTGCTGACTAGCTAAGGCTGCAGACAAAAGTCTTCGAGAGCCACAGCAGGATCCAGAAGAATTAACACCACTTTCCTGGTCCTCATTGCTTATTCACCTGCTGGTACAGGCAGCATCAGCCTGACTGTTTAACTCACCACAAAGTGCACAGTGCTCAAAAGAGTTGAGCAAAGCAAGGACAATGACTTCATATACAATACAGATACAGCAGCCTGGAGCTTCTGTGGGCAGGGAGGCCAAGGGAGTACCATGTCTAAAAGTAAAATACAGATAAAGCTCCTCAACATGCTACAATGATAGTGCCAGACCATATCCACTACCTGCTTTGAAGCAGTCAGAGATGTAATGAGAAGAGAAGAGAAGAGAAGAGAAAAGAAAAGAAAAGAAAAGAAAAGAAAAGAAAAGAAAAGAAAAGAAAAGAAAAGAACCAAAAAAACCCACACAGCCTCTTCCCCCACCAAATAAAAGGGGGAAAATAAAGATTACATTCCTCATGCCCACTGGTTAAATGATTAAAATATTCACAAAACTCTGGCAGGTTTTCTTCCCCTTAACTAATGCAGAAAATACATGAGGCTTACAGTACCTAAAGAAAATGCATATTTTATATATATATGCATACTTTTACATACATGCATATATAATACATACTTAAAGAGATAATTGTGCCAGCAATTTATTTTGAAATGGAATTATTGTCATCATTTTCATATCAAACTTAATTCTGCATATTTCAGCACACCACCCAAGAAAAGTTGGTTAGTGCACTCAGAGGTGCTGGTTTTGTTGGTCTCACTGGCTTTCCTTCAGCCTCATGTGGGTGGAATTCTAGGCATTGGCTCTGAAATGTTGGAAAGAGAAAAGTACAACTGTTGAAATTCAGTTACTAACACTGGGATCTGCTGCTTTGTATAAAGAGGGAACAACAAATGTTCTGTTTATTTTTCAGAGCCATTGCTATTCCTTCTCCGGGGAAAGGCTTAAGGTGTATTTGAAAAAATGTTTAGTTTGGGAAAGAAATACGGGGTAGCTATGAAAAACCCCACAGCAAATAAAGGATTTGGTGCATTAGAAACCATAATTAACATACACGTTTCTGTGGGTTGGAATACTGGAATTCAGTGTAATTTTGTTAGCAAGGGATTTAGGCAGTGTTGAAGCTCTGCTTAGTTCCTCATCAAAGCCATCTACAGGAGTCACTAACCAGGAACCCAAATACCATCTTAAAACCCTCAAAACTTACTTTTGCAACCAGTCAATGATCTTCTTCTTTGTTCTGAGGTGTGGCAGAGTGTATTTCTCCTCTCCATCCTTAAAATACTTCAAAGTAGGAAACCCTGAGATATGGTATCTTTCTGCCAGAGCCTTGTTGACAGTAGCATCGACTGCTGCAAGGACACCCGGACTCTGAAAGAGAGATCACCCCCTGTAAATCCCAGCCACATACACACACCCCTCAGCAGGACACAGTGGGCTTGGGGGCAGTCACTCATGCTCTAGGTGCCTTTGCTGCCTCTAGGACAAGAGGACATAGTCTTAAGCTGTGCCAGGGGAGGCTTAGGTTGGACACGAGTAAGAATTTTTTCACATAAAAGGTGATTAGACATTGGAATGGGCTGCCCAGGGGGATGGTGGAGACACCATCCCTGGAGGTGTTTAAGGAAAGACTGGATGTGGCACTCAGTGCCATGGTCTAGTTGTCATGGTGGTGCTTGGTCATAGGCTGGACTTGATTTTAATGGTCTTTTCCAACATGTTTGGAACAGACCATTAATGCTGTGATTTTGTGCACAGACATACAGAAAGACACAGAGAACTGATGCAAAAACAGAAAGGGACATACTCTGGGCTAAATGTTACCAGTCTTACCTGTTGCCCTCCCATTTCTGATGGATTCTCTTTATATAATTCACTCTATAATGCTTAAGAGCCATTCCCAGAAATTGCATTTCCTCCCACATATCCCTGTTTCTCCCAGAAGAAACATGCACTGCTAAAGGTAAGTTTAAGGCAAATTCATCTTTCCCTAACTTGTGGGTATCTTTTCATGGACCACCTTTAGAGACACAGAAGAATAGGCATTTGTAAAGTGTGATTCATTGGATCTTTGTTTTTCTCATCTCCTCCCTCTCCAACAGCAATAAAGGAACTTTAGATGTCTCCACAGATGATGCTTAAAGTATGGGGGAGACCAATTCTACTTCTCCTCCCGCATGGCATACACAGCACGAGACTGAATCAATAACACTAATACTTGTATTATTGGATCTCTCTTCTCCAGCCATGCTGATGGAGCACTTATGATGAAGCTAATGGAGTGGTGCAACCATTAAAAACAGGCTATTTGAAACAGGGATCAACCCCTTTTGGTTTTCTCCAAATCTAATTCATAAATAAAAGCCTATGTTTTTTCACATTCAATGTCTTTAAGTAAGAGGAAAAAAAATCCATTTTTGGATTTGATCATATTATGTATAAGGCCTACAGTAGAATACATAAACATTTTTCGATTTTGTTTTCGTTCAAGACAGAATGTTCTTTCTCAGACTTTGGCAGGGCTCATGCATCAGCGATGAGACTGTACTTTGGAAGCACATTTTGAAGGGTCCTGTGGGAGGATGAGAACAGCTGAATTTGTTGTAGGGAGAAAAGTCACTTTTATTACTCTAGTTATTTATTACTGATTATTTGAAGGATATAATAAAGGAAATTAGCTTACATCACTGGTTACATGGAGAAACTCTGCAGCCTTCTCATATTCTGGCTTCATTTTCTTACAGTGCCCACACCCTGCCAAAAAAAAACTACAATTAAGTTGTATACACCATGGTCATTCATTGACCCATTCAGCCATTATCAAAATCCAGAACCATGTAGTAAAGATTTACTAGAATTTTGTATGCATTTTACTTAATACATTTGTAAAGCCTTAGTATGATATAGGATTTTTTCCAAAATGATCACAACAGTTTAAACAAAGAATTTAATCTATTATTATTAATAATAATAATAATAATAATAATAATAATAATAATAATAATAACAACAACAACAACAACAATAATAATAATAATAATAATACACCCCTGCTTTCACACCCACACCTCTTTCCTTACAAAAAGTACTATAAACATTTGTCAAGCCCATTGCTTCTAGCATGCTCTTGGGCAGAGCACAACCTCACCCATTTCAGTTTCCAAATCTTTATCTGCTTTAAAAAGAAACAACACAACTCCTCACATGACTTTGTGACTTTCAGTGGAGGCTTACACTAGCACAGCTTAATAGAGTAATATAATTTGAATTCAACTGCACTGATAATAAGCCCTGCTTTACAGTGGTGCAGCATGTCCTTCTAGGAAGGATTTGCACTGATTTAATCACATCAGTGTAATTACACCACCACATATGTTCCCAACATAAGCAGGATCTGTAAAATTGAGATAATGGTGCTTTCTCGCTTGTGCGAAGTTCTCCAGAGATCTGCCATTACTTCACTGCTAAGTGCTGACTTTACAATAAAGTAAAATGAATGTATGAGTGAGAAAAGCAGACTTAGAATAAATTATTTGGGTGTAAATTAAACTGCTTTCAGAGGTGCTGTTGCTTGGAGGCAGGCTGAACTTTCATGCCCAGGTGAGGATCCTGCCATGATGTGAAGTTACACTTTGGCACCTCCAGTGCACTGCTGGGCCTCAGTGACAGCCCCTTCCCCGTCCCCAAGGGACTGGCACAATGGCAGCCCCCTGGGACAGTGCACAGGGACAGAGGGGCTGGGGTGAACACCCAGCAGGTGAGGCTCAGGTCTGACTGGAGTGCAGGCAGCTGGGACAAGGCGCTGGCCCCGGAGCGCTGCAATCCTGTGCAGTGCCTTACTGCACCTCTCCCTCTCCTCTGCAGCAGCTGCCAGCTCACTTTCCTGAGCTGTTTTTGTTGGAAGGGGCACTTGAAAGCCCAGACTTTGCTGATCTTTTGGAAGTTATATCAGAAGATATGGCTAGAAATGTGTTTCAATGCATGCCAGCAAAAGCTGACTCTGAGGTGTTCAGATAACAGGGCTGGGGATATTTTTACACCATTGTCTAAAAGAAAATAAACCAAAGACTCTGAACCTCAGTGCTGCTTTGTTTCCCTCTGATGGGATGATGGCTGAAGCCAGCAGACACAAATCTGGGCCTGAACTCAACCAGACAAGCATGTTTTATATAGCCTAAGTCAAAGAGTGTTTGCAGCCAAGAAGCAGTAAGACATCCAGGTGTAAGTAACTTCACCAGAGCAAACAGAGCTTCAGCCACCACAGCACATCATGGAACACTTTCAGGGCATGTTTATGGAACATTTGAACAACAAATGTAAATCCCACCTAAGAATTACAGCAAATACCAAAGCAGTTGAACTCAGACCAGCTCCTGTTCAAACACCAGCTACAGTCCATACCACTTAGTCATCTGCACAGAGACCACAGCACTAAAGAGCCCCATGCCATTCTTTTAAGGAAAAAATAGTATTGTGGTAGGAGCAGCAGAACAAGGGGAGCTCAGCTGGTGGAGAGAGCTTTGTTTTAATTTTACACCATGGTGTGAGAATGCTGGGAACCCAATGCGACAGCTTCACAGGAGAATTCAGGAAGAAGCTGGGACAGGCTGAGGAAGAGTTACTGTCTCAGCACTGCTTATCTTGGTTAAAAGCACAAAAGAGGCTGGAAAATGATTTATTTGCCACCCACAGAAAACTTGCAGGCATATGGCTTTGTGTAAGGGGCTGACAGATCCCTCTGACACCTGCCCAATTTGATTTATTTCTCCTCTTAGGAGCAGGGAACTGAATTCATTTTGTGCTCTTCCTCACTTTTTACCAAAGGGCATCTCAACTCCCAGTTCAGATACCTGGGAACTCTCTGAATTGGGTAGCTTAAATTTGTACAAACAATGATTTTCTGCAGGGCTAACTTCACCTTGATGGGATTTACACAGTGTGTCCCTTAGCCACAGCAAGGTTCATACTGTGCTCTAGCTACAGTATCCATATAATCTACACTATATTCCAATTATATTACAATAATTAATTAGATCTGATCAACCAAAGGCATTAAAGAACCAGAGTTTTCACAAAGCCTTGCACAGGGGGAAAAAACCCAAACCAGTAACACAGGCACATATTGCCCAGGAAATGAAAAAGTATCCAAAGCATCTGAAGATCATGTAAGTAATATTTTGGATGAAGATATCTAGACCATGAAATGTCACTGTTCCAGGTTCTTTCATGAAATCACACAGACACAGCACTACTGACTGCCACAAAGCTAACTCACTCAGGCTTAAAATAAAGGGAAGCAGCATCAGATCTTTAAAAGGTATTTAAATGCAAACTGAAATCTTCAAATCTTTGTTGTGAATGCTTGTTCTACCCCTGACAGAGGACAGCATGATGTATCAGCCTGGAAAAAAGTCACAACATTAGACTGAACCTGAGAGAGGAACAACAAATTTTAAGAGCTTCTCCCGCAATAAACAATGCTTTTCTGCCTGTCTTCATGATAATTTTGCTATTGTGAGCTACAGCCTGCTTTCACCTACCATTGCAGAAAAGGGGAGATATGAATTACAAATCAGACCTACAAACTGCAAACTAATTAATCTCTCCTATGATTATTTATCCTATCTTTGAATAATCCTGTGAAGATTGCCATTACATTTTTGAGGCCAATGAAAAGTTATTTAAATGAATTCCAAGGTCACTGCCTCTCCTTTGATTGCTACATTAGGTTGTTCAGCAGCAGCTTCATCCCCCTGTGCTAAGCTCCTCTAGTTTTAGATGATTTCTCTTCATAAAATGAGTGGGGAAAATAACAACAACCCTACAGGCCCAGATGCTCCTGTGTGCTGCTGGGACAATGGAAGGAGCCCAGAGGTCTGCAGTGGGCATCTGTGACAGATGTGCTTCTAGAAGATGCACTGTCCTGTTAAGTGCTTACTGACATTAAAACTGAAAGTCTAAGCAAGGGAAGTTTGATCCCAGTTGAAAAGAAAGGCTGCACTCAATACAAGGATAGCCTGGGCCTGGTCCAGCACTGCCACCCTCTGAGCCTCTGTGGGGCATGGCTGGTGGGAACACCCAAGGGTCTTGTAGGTGTCCATCCAAGAGGACTCCCACAGCCTCAGTCTTTTCTTGCAGAAGACAAGCAGCTGCTCTGGGGGTGCAAGACAGAGTTACTCTCCATCCAGCAGCAGAAACCAGTCCAGGTTCAGTGCCTGGTTCTGCTGACCAGTTCAGGACAACTCCTCTGACTTCTAACACCTCACCTTGCTCCTCTTGCACAAAATGAGCCCAGGCTGCTAGGGCCAAGGCTCAGATAGAAAGAGCACACAGATAAGCAAAAAGGAAGTGTTACAAGACAGGGAAAACAAGTCAAAACTTACAACAATCAGTGCTAGGACAGCTGGTACACACCCTTGCTAACCATTTTTAAAACAGATGTCTAAATGAAGTAAGAATTCTGCTTTCCCAGTTTATTTATAATCAGTCTTCTCATTTGCACTGTGCAGATGGGCAGATAAGCAGCTCCTTCCTTTTGTGCAGTTACTGTCACACAGCTTAGCTCAGCTGCACCCCAAACAATGGCGATCAAAGGTCCCCATGTCACCTCAGTGCAGACAAGTCACCTCCCTCCAGGGTCCCACTGCAGGGCAGAGGACAACACTTGCTCAGCACTTTGTCCTCTGCAGAGTGTGACCACATGCTAATGTAGAGGCAAAGGCCAAGTGTGGACAGAGCAATGCTGAAGTGAAAGGGTGAGCAGCACATGGACAAAGGAAAGCCTCACAAACATACCAGACAACTCTTTTCCAAGGAAGTATCTGTATTTGTTTATAGCAGCCTCTTTGGCACCATGGCAAAGACTCTCAGCACGGTTGCTCCAAACCTTTTCAGAAATGAACTAATACAAGTACTTCTACTGCTAAAACCAAGATTTACAGGCAGAAAACCAGCTAAGCAGCTCCAGCTAAGCTTCTGCATATGCTGTCTTAGTGATGTCTCAAGAATATAAATCTGTTTCTCTCTGTCATTCACTGTTTGCTTCTTTCAGGTTATTATGACTATATAAATAAATGCCATGCTTTTAGCCATGTCCTCTCATCTCAAGATAACATTGTCTGAGGATCTGAAGTGTGCGTGACAAGCAAGAGATAAAAGACAACATCCAGGCAGTTGTGAAGAAGCTATTTCTGACATCAAGAACCCTAGAGGTAAACTAAATTGCAAATAAAGATTTTAAAGAATCATTACATTTCTGTCATCAACAGACTGCACGAATACTGTTATCATGTACCAGCTATTTATTGTATAATGCCAGCTCTATATCCATCTATAGCTGCACACCAAAAATACCTCCATTAGCCTGACGAGAAAATGAATTTGAAGCACAAAACATGTCCTGCTTTCAGCAAGTGGGCCACTGGCAGTTCAGAATACACTCATAGAAGATTTACAGACAACTTCAAAAAAAGGAAAAAAAGAAGTAAAAAAATTCAGATGTACCTTCATTCTTTAAACATTTAACAACTGGGGATAACACCATTGGTTTCTCTATTTTTAATCCCAGAAGAACAGTGACCTCTGAAAACAGCAGAATAGCCAGTTCTTACAAGTTAATATTGTTAACTTTGAACTCTCATCCCTACATATGAACATAGGAGTACCTACATGGAGCAGGGAAGACACAGTCCTTGCAGCCACAGCAAGGACACACAAATCCCAGCCCTCTTATCACCCATGCAAGAACACAAATG